AAGCACTAAACACAATCATAAAATGTTTGAATGAGAGTGCAGGTTAGTGTTCACTCAAGCATCAACAAAGCCAGACTGGTTCATGGTGCCTGCACGGGGATGCAGACAGAATGGGCTGGCTGACAGTTCCAGTATCTGGCAGTTCGAAAATAGGGGTGAGCTCAATAATAGGGACAAAGTTGGTTCGAAAAAAGCAGTTGATTTTCGAAGAGTTCGATAAGCGATACGTTTGAAATTTGAGGTTCCACTGTATGAGCATACCACATACAGGAATGTACTAAACAGCCATGTATAGAATGAAAAATATATATAACCCAAATACCCCCCTCCCCCCCCCCCAAAAAAAAAAAAAAAAAAAAAAATCGTACTGTATTCTTTCTACAATTAATTGCCAGAATCTGGAAAAAAGAATCCACGGTTCTTGACTGACTTCTACCAAGCAATTCTTAGCATACTATGTGGCATCAAACAGCTATGTACTGTACCAAAAGGAAATAAATTTGGTCTGAAAACAGCCAAGAAAAAAATAAATCTGGATTTCAGTCATAGTTCTCCTCCCTTTTACATTGCCTCCAGTGCCACCAATCAACCAATCTGTCTTTCTATAGATTGAGGTGCTTGTGTTAGGAATCTGTGAATGTATATCTCCCTACTTCTCTTTCTTCCCTCTTCTTTTTAATGGACCCTTAAACTGTTCAAACGTAGATCTACATTCACATGAGTAGCGCTCTGACCTTTATTTTCTCCATTTGAAAGCATGTAAAAAAACGTAGATCTACGGTCAGAGTGCTACACACGTCAACATAGATCTCTGTTTGGACAGTTTAAGGGTTAAAACTGAAAAACAATCAAAGGATTTCATTTAAAATTTTCTCTTGCTCTTTGCATTTTCCATCCCCCCCCCTTTTTTTTTAATATAAATGACAGTGAATCAGTTTAGTGTGATATTTAGAAATAGTGGCACTGGATTTGAGTAATCTCATAAGAGTGAATTTATGCCACACATAGCAAGTTACTGGTAGAAGTAGAGTCATTACATAGTGAACCTGCATGTAGTAGAACACATTAAACATGGGAAACCTATATTTTTATTTACAGGATTAAATCTGTTCTTTGTATTCCATCCGTACTTCAGTTTCCAGTTCTTTTGGCATATTCTACTTCCTCTTGAAACCATTTTCAGCACCACCTCTTTAACTTTCAAATATATGGTAGAACTTTCTAGTGTGTAAATACTTCATTTGTTTGTAGGTCTTCATTGATTGATTTGTTTTATAATTTTTTCAGTATTTCATAGTGAAAAAATTCATTCTGATTGTGGTATATATAATGCACAGAAGTGATTGAATTTTCATCAAAACTTTGATAATTAAAATTACAAGGAAGGCCTCTAGCATACCTAGGCATTTTGGGCAGACTAATCCTAATGGCTGGACCAATTTGCCAAAAACTGACACCTAGGAAAGGAACATAGGATGATACTTTGTTTGGTCTTAAACCAACCAAATTACAGTGGTCCAGGGAGGACTGAAATATCATCCTAACATTTCTTAAGTGCATGTTTTTTTGCGTATGACAGGGTGGATAGGGGGGCAATGTGGCAGATGTTGCAAGTGTATGGTGTAGGAGGTAGGTTACTGAAAGCAGTGAAGAGTTTTTACGAGGATAGTGAGGCTCAAGTTAGAGTATGTAGGAAAGAGGGAAATTTTTTCCCAGTAAAAGTAGGCCTTAGACAAGGATGTGTGATGTCACTGTGGTTGTTTAATATATTTATAGATGGGGTTGTAAGAGAAGTAAATGCGAGGGTCTTGGCAAGAGGCGTGGAGTTAAAAGATAAAGAATCACACACAAAGTGGGAGTTGTCACAGCTGCTCTTTGCTGATGACACTGTGCTCTTGGGAGATTCTGAAGAGAAGTTGCAGAGATTGGTGGATGAATTTGGTAGGGTGTGCAAAAGAAGAAAATTAAAGGTGAATACAGGAAAGAGTAAGGTTATGAGGATAACAAAAAGATTAGGTGATGAAAGATTGAATATCAGATTGGAGGGAGAGAGTATGGAGGAGGTGAATGTATTCAGATATTTGGGAGTGGACGTGTCAGCGGATGGGTCTATGAAAGATGAGGTGAATCATAGAATTGATGAGGGGAAAAGAGTGAGTGGTGCACTTAGGAGTCTGTGGAGACAAAGAACTTTGTCCTTGGAGGCAAAGAGGGGAATGTATGAGAGTATAGTTTTACCAACGCTCTTATATGGGTGTGAAGCATGGGTGATGAATGTTGCAGCGAGGAGAAGGCTGGAGGCAGTGGAGATGTCATGTCTGAGGGCAATGTGTGGTGTGAATATAATGCAGAGAATTCGTAGTTTGGAAGTTAGGAGGAGGTGCGGGATTACCAAAACTGTTGTCCAGAGGGCTGAGGAAGGGTTGTTGAGGTGGTTTGGACATGTAGAGAGAATGGAGCGAAACAGAATGACTTCAAGAGTGTATCGGTCTGTAGTGGAAGGAAGGCGGGGTAGGGGTCGGCCTAGGAAAGGTTGGAGAGAGGGGGTAAAGGAGGTTTTGTGTGCGAGGGGCTTGGACTTCCAGCAGGCATGCGTGAGCGTGTTTGATAGGAGTGAATGGAGACAAATGGTTTTTAATACTTGACGTGCTGTTGGAGTGTGAGCAAAGTAACATTTATGAAGGGGTTCAGGGAAACCGGCAGGCCGGACTTGAGTCCTGGAGATGGGAAGTACAGTGCCTGCACTCTGAAGGAGGGGTGTTAATGTTGCAGTTTAAAAACTGTAGTGTAAGGCACCCTTCTGGCAAGACAGTGATGGAGTGAATGATGGTGAAAGTTTTTCTTTTTCGGGCCACCCTGCCTTGGTGGGAATCGGCCAGTGTGATAATAAATAAAAATAATGTTTTTTTGCGAAGCATATTTCAGGAAAAATATACAGCTTATGTTTTTAAATATTCATTTATTTATAGCATTTGTTATCCCATTCCTGTGGTCCACCACTCTGTGGAGAAATACTTTCTAGTAGCCTTTCAGCTTTACTTTACCCCTTAGTTATCAATTGTGGCTTCTTGTTCTCCCTGTTAATGGTGCGTAAGTGTTGTGTATTAACTTTTTATACATTGTTTTAAATTGTGCTGTCTGTATCATCTCTCTCTCACCCTCTCTTTTACTGTCTCTCCCTCTTTCTTGCTGTCTCACCATCTCCCCCCTCTCGCTGTCTCCCGCTCCCTCCCTTTCTCTCTCTCATCAGTGAATATGGACATTTTTGGTATTTTTAGTCTACTTTTTTTTTTTTTTTTTTTTTTTTTTTTAAGCTCTGACAAATCATTTGTAGCATGTCTTTGGACCTTTTCTGTTTTATCTAAATATTTCGTCTTCACCACATTACTGCTGCATATTCCAACATTCGTCTGGGTATGTTGCATTTATATTTTTTGTGGGTGGGGGAGGGGGAGAAGAAACAAATGTGCAAGCATGAGTAAACAAATAAAAACAATGGTGGCACTTGTGTTGGTGGTGAAGGGCAGGCACAGTATTAACCTCATCTTGTTGGTACATTAATGAGGTGATGTGCCCCAGCATATCTCTATGCTGTTGCTTCTCTTCACATAGTGACAAGGCAGATGATGATTAACTTTTTAAGTACATATCTGCTACATGAGCTGTTAGGGGCTTCCTGACACTGTTAGCAATAGCTGTGTATATAAGCAGCACTTACATTGATTATAAATAATGTGAACTTCCCTTTAGATTACAATAACATATACATATTTAACCCTTTCAGGGTCCGTCCCTTAGATCTACGGCTTTACGTTCAGGGTCCAAACCGTAGATCTACGTCATGAGCTCAGCTCACTCTGATAAACTGTGAGTGGTACATTTGGGCCTAGATATGAAAGAATACATCTATGTGGTATGTGTGCACCACATAAAACAGATCCTGCAGCACACTGTGTATAATGAGAGAAAAAAACTGAAATCATGATTTTTCGATTAAAACAGCGACTTTGCAGTATTTTTTCGTATGTTTTTTATAGTTGTATTTGCGATTTCTTGGTCTCAATTGATAGAATGGAAGACATATTACAGAAATAGAGATGATTTTGATTGGTTTCAGCACTGGAAATGGCTTGAAACTGAGCTCAAAGTAGCAGAAATGTTAAATTTTTGCCGATATTCAAGAGTAAACAAACGACCTCACACGTCTAATACACGCCAGCTGGTGGGTCTAATATGCATTCACAAATATGGTGATATTTATACAATTATTACAGTATTGCATAACAGTAAATCTTCAATTTTTTGGTGTGAATAAAAAATCAAAATGGAATTTATTTGTAAAGCCTCAAAACATAACTAATGAACAGAGGAAATGTTAGTTTAGTTCCAGGAATACCTACATTGTTTATTCTGGACCCTATTTTGAAATTGGAATATTTTGAACTTTGTGTTAAATTGGCCAAATTAACAATTTCTGATCACTTTAATTTGTAGTTGAAACAGTTGACTTGCTGATTTCTTGTGCTCAATAGATAGAATAGAAGTAATACTAGTGAAATAGCTAAGAATTTGGTTTACTGGAATAATGTAATTGGCCTAAAATGGGAGTCAAAGTCGGCAAAATCGCCGATTCGTAAATATCGCTGACACATCAAAATTCCATCAAATTTTCCATCAAATTTCGTACTTTTTGTTTTATTACCTTCACAAAAAGATTCTTTACCATTTCATAAGAAAAAATAATTTTTTTTTTTTTTTAAATTCTTGGACACTGGGGCACCACTTCAGATTTGGGCCTTGGACCCTGAAAGGGTTAATGTTATCCTACATATAACATTCACAAAAACACTGCAAGTGGATTTATTGCAGCTGTTTATTGTAGTCATTGAGATACACAACGAATGAATCAGCATTTATTTATTTTTTTTTTTTTTTTTTTTTTACTCTTTACAAGCTGTTTTCATTTCACCAGTGATAATTATTCAGATTTTTTTTTTCAGGTGAGCGAGGTATCTCGTCGTGGCTGGAGCGAAGCCACCAGGGCATGGGGGAGTGGTGGCTCTGGAGGAGGAACTCTGGCCCTCACTAGCAGTTCTGGGGGCCCACATGAACGCTCCTCCTTGCTGCTTGGCCCAGGTGATGGATACCAGCGGCTTGACAACAACAGGTTAGAACAGCACATGTGTTATATACCATATATGGATACAAGTGTACCTTTTCTTAATACAGTACAGTACAGTGGACCCCCAGTTAACGATATTTTTTCACTCCAGAAGTATGTTCAGGTGCCAGTACTGACCGAATTTGTTCCCATAAGAAATATTGTGAAGTAGATTAGTCCATTTCAGACCCCCAAACATACACGTACAAACGCACTTACTTAAATACACTTACATAATTGGTCGCATTCGGAGGTAATCGTTATGCGGGGGTCCACTGTACTTACATTAATTTTGAACACCTGTATTTCCCCCCCAAGTTAGGGGTGACCCTTAGACAAGCATATTTAATTCTTTGTATTTTTGGTTCAGTATAACTGTATAGTCCTTGTGGCTTAGCACTTCTTTTTTGATTATAATAATAATAATAATTTGGTTCAGTATGGTAAGGTGAGTAAGAAGGGTGACAAGCTCTCCACACTCTTGGCATGGTGTTGCTTTCGGTAACCTGCATGGCATGTGAGGAAAAGATTCTGGCACACGTTTCAGGAAAATAGGAGAAGGAAAGAGATGTAGTGCCCCCACACTTGCTTCATTGTTTATCATTGAGCATATTTACGAAAAGATGTTATTCTGTGGTTGGTTTAAATTTTTTAGCATGGAAAATGAATAGTATTTTAAGTGGCCAACAAAAATCACTATTTTCATAAGTGTGGCTGTAGTGGTATTGATAGCAAAACTAAAGAAAAGTACAGTTGACTGTTGATTAAGATGGTAGTTACATTCTTGAAAATAGCATAAGACAAAATATAGTCTAAAACAAACTGAAGAACATGGGAAAAATAAGGTTACTTTTCTTGTAATCTCCCCCCTCCCAAAATGGCAGACAACTTTGTTTTAGGTTTCCAAATTGTATACAAAAAAATTATATGTAATTGTAGTTGGTTGTCATGATGTATTATGTTTAACACATTGGTTAAAGCTACAAAATGTTACAGAAATAATATTTCTTAACTTAAATTTTGCTGGTATATGTTGATGATTATAAACAGAGTGAAGAGGGATGCTGTGGCCCTACTGCACTGAGGTGGATGGCTGTGGATTGTTAGCCGAGGTGGATGGTTGATGCTCTGGCACTTAAAGTTGATGGTTGTACTGGAGTAGTAAGAAATTCTGTAATGAAACTCTGGTCTCTCTTTACCCTGCAGCACTTTATCCAGTTGACAGTAAGGCATCATCAGCTGCTCTAGACCTCATTTCAGAGCGGTGCTTCTAGGTTTGTTGGGGTCCTCATCAGTGAATAAGTCTGCAACTTTACCAATACTATGGAACTACTCACATAACTGTTGGTGTTAACTGTTTTTCTTCAGGTTAAATAACAAAAAAAGGCACAATACTGTGACTGGAACGATACACAAATAACCCGCACATAGAAGAGAGAATCTTGCGACGACTACTACTACCACTACTACTACTTCCACTACCACTACTACTACTACTACTACTACTACTACTACTACTACTACCACTACTACTACTACTACTACTACTACTACTACTACTACTACTCTACCACCACTACTACTATACTACCACTACTACTAACCCCACTACTACTACTACCACTACTACTACTACTACTACTACTACTACTACCACTACTACTACTACCACTACTACCACTACTACTACCACTACCACTACTACTACCACCACTACTACTACCACCACTACTACCACTACCTCTTCCTGCCTATATATAGCCGTCCTGCTCCACTTCTGGTTAGTGTGACTTTGTAAATGGTCCAAGTCGGACCGAAACGTCGTCGCAAGCTTCTCTCTTCTATGTGTGGGTTATTTGTGTTTCTTCAGGTTGTTCTTCCTCCTCTTCCTCTATCTCTGCATTGAATTCTGCCAACATTTTCCCTGGACTCCTGTCTGTCATGACCTAAGAGCTTGTTTACATCATCATCCTGCATATCTTCAAAGCCCTCATCTGGTAATTTCCTTCTCAGCTAAACTATTTTTTGCACCTGACTCTCAAGTGAGGGGGAAACCTGTGAAAGTATTCACCACACTAGTCCACAACTTTCCCCAGCCTGCATATAATGTTGATTGGGGCACTTCATCCCATGCACTTCTAGCATAGCTGATAGCATCAGAACTGTTAAATTTATGCCAGAAGTTTGGTACTGCAAGATCAGGGTCAGTGTCCATTGCTGCAACAAATTTTTGTGTCACTTTTTGCATGTAGTTACACTTGAATGACCTAATGACTCCATAATCCAGTGGTTGTATTGAAGATGTATTTGGAAGTAAAAATTCAACTTAACATTTGGATGATGAACATCCAACAGAGCTTCTTAATGAGTATGGGAATTATTAAGAATGAAGAGAACCTTGAATGCAATGTTCATGCTGTGCAGGAATAGTGATGTTCAAACCAGCCAATTATTCATCTCATCCGTGCTGACATGTTTGACCTCCAAAGAACTGGTAAGGGGGTTTCATGCATACCCTTCAAAGCATGGGGAGTCTTGGAGTGGTAAATTACCATGGGCTTACACTTAAAATCACCTATGCATTACCACATGCATTATCCCAGTGTACTTTTAAAATGCTGATTGATGTAAGCTCTTGCTAGCATCATCATCTAATACACACTTGTCTCATCAGCATTGAACACTTGCTGTGGCTTGTAGCCACCGTCAGAAATAATTTTCTGCAACTTAGCAGGGAAATTACCTGCTGCTGAAGCACTTTCACCAGAAAACTTATTATGTAAACTATTACATAACTTGAACTTATGGAACCAGTCGGTGCTAACCACTTGTTCTGGCCTTCATTTCTTCCTCATCACACATTGTTTTGTAGTACTCTAAGGCTTTTTCCGTTATTAAGATGAAAATAAGTTATTTATGAAAATAAGTGATCCAAAACTTTGTGGCCCAGTCCCTAGACCCATTATGTACTTCTGTAATCTTTGACTACAGCCCACAGTGTAGTGGGGGTTCGGTGGTGGATTTGGATATACATAATAAACAACCACGTTGGATGGCTTGGTAGCGTATACAGTAGGGCCCTACTTATACGGCAGGTTAGGTTCCAGGCTACTGCCGGAAAGCAGACTTCACCGGAAAGCAGAACTCCAATTTTTTCATTTATAAATATATATAAATGCCAGATAACAAGTTTACACTAACATATATTAAGTTAGCAATAGAACTAGGCATTAAAAAGTAAAATACACACACAGTACACTCATTATTTACCTCAAAATATTTGTAATCTTAATGTAGGGCAAAAGGTGTATTTACTGTAAGAAGTCAGGTGTGGTAGACCTCCTGGCCACCCCACCCACACATACTATACTATGATGCTTAAAGCTCCCTAGAGCGATAAAAGGCACATACAGTACACTCATTAATTACCTTAAAATATTTGTAGTCTTGATGTAGGGTGAGAGGTGAGTTTTATTTGTAGGAAGTCAGGTTGGGAAGTATGGGTAGCCAGGAAGGGCAGCCCTCCCCACCCCACCTACACGTAATGTAAAAAACCAGACGAACGCGTCTGGTTTTCGTCACTTTACACTGTGTACAAGTTGTCTCCATGTTGATACAGTAGAATAAATAAAGAGAAACACTCCCATTCTCATGTAACACCATTTTTAGAAGAAATGATGCTCTGAGTGAAGGTATACAAAGGGAATAATTTTCTAGCTACCTCTAGTAATTTTATAGTGTACACATTTTGTCTGATGTTGGACTACAAGTTGCCTGGGTACCACAAGTCCTACAAGTCACCTGGCTGTCACGAGTCCTACAAGTCACCTGACTACCACGAGTCCTACAAGTCACCTGGCTACCACAAGTCCTGCAAGTCACATGGCTACCACATCTCATACTTATGTTAATCTATTCTACTGTGGGGTGTATTTAGATGGATTAAGCAAAATGTCTATACTGTATTAATGTTTTATATGATATTTAATACTCCTCAAAGTGATTATTATTGTGTGTTATTATGATCATTATTAATATGGCATCTTCGAGACTAATAAGACTCTTAGTGATTCTAATGTTTACCTACATGCCAGCACAGTGTGTAAGTTTACTTAGGCACAGGTACACATAAGTATAATTATCAGTTATAATAATAATGTAGGTATATAGTCTGCCTGGGCTAAATACTTACACCTACCTACATAGCTACACGATATTTAATGTGGCCCAGAGCCATATTATTACATCAACATACCATGTTCACTGAGTTTAATCGTTTCTATCAACTACCTTTAGATGCCATCATAAACAAAGGGAGAAGTAATGAATAATTCATGCCGAGAATTGTAAACAAAAGCGTTATGTATTAAGGGGAGTGACATAATGTTTTCTCTCTGCCTGGCTACCACACCTCCATAGTATATAAACCTAAAATGTTTATGTACTATATGTTTATGTACTTATGTTTATATACATAGTATATAAACATAAAATGTTTATGTACTATGTAACGTGTTATATAATTTTGAAGAAAATATCGTACAGATTAATGAAAATGTCTATATTAACATAAAATAAGACATTTAATGTATCCAAGAGTGATTATTATTACATAATAGAGATGTGCTCACAGAGAATGTAAACACACCGGGTGGCGTGCGCTGCATTTGAAAGACTGCTCGCTGTATAGAAAGTTTTGGCCATGATTTGAAATCACTGTAAAGCGGGGCCCTACTGTATGTATTTTTGTTTTTTATTGTTTTAGTCCTAGTTCTGTTGCTCAATATATGATTCTGTAAATATGTTATTAGGTATTTATATGCATTTAAAAGTGGGGAAAAAAAGGGCGATTCACTTTACAGCAAATTTTGCTTTACGGTGCTTTTTGCCGTAAAGCCTGGAACCTAACCTTCCATATAATTGGGGCCTTCCTGTATATTAAAAGTACAATAAATCCATTGAGGATACAGTATCATGGAGATGCTATGTCAACGTTTGGTTCTAAGTTGGAAGGCCAGTACAGGACATTCTCACACTGTTTACCTTATGCAAGTTTACTACTATATGACAAGATGAATGTGTAATTATTAAATATTTACACTGAATAGTATAGTAGTTTATAAGTCCTGCTAAAATTTTTCAGAAATACACATCTTACAGGCTAACAACACTTACACGACCACTTGCTTCATGTGTATTACTGTCTTGCAGCAATTGCCAGCATTCCAAGTAGTTTGGACGGGGTGAGAATGCTTTAAATCAGCAATTAATGTACAATTACTGTATTATTTATGCACAAATAGCTTTAACACTAGTAACTTGTAAACAAGAGACAGATGAAGAAAACTGGAGTTTGCATCATTGATGGTCATATTCTTACTTAATGGATCACACATAGGAACCCACAATTTATTCTGCCAATAAGGTATTTAGGGTTTAACAGAAATTTGAGTTGGAAGTTCTGCTATACGTGTTCACATGTTGGCCAATGTCTCGAGTGGCCTCAGAGTAGGCAGAAGCCTGCATCTAATGCAAGGCTTCACATATTGCTTAATGAATACAGATATTTTCAAGTGAATCTTGAAGCACAAGTCTTTGTTTTGATGAATTTAACAGGTAGTTTTTGCCAAGCATTTAGTATTGTATTCCTGGAAAGAATTTATCTGTCCTGTAATGCAGTTTGGCAAACTGGAAGGTGTCCTGTGCTTGTCTGTATGTACTTTACTCACTCATGTGGTTGCTGGGGTTGGGCCTTAGCTCCTGGCCCCAATTTTCCACTGGCTGCTTCTGGGGTCTTTCTCCTGGCTGCATGAACCCTGTCATACCTGTTAATGCTGTATATCGATTCTGTCTGTACTCCTATGCTGTCCAGGTCATTCCACTTGCCAGCCACACTTCCTGACCACTCTGAGGCCTAAGAAATATTTCCTAACATCTGTGTTCCCACATATTCCTATTTTCACCTCTCGATCAGTCTCTCCCTATCTACCCTTTCAATTGTCCCTCAGTATTTTGTATGTCATTATATCATGTTACCCCTCGTTGTTCCTTCATTGGCTGCCATCAGGTTTAGCTCTAGTCTCTCTGGGATTAGTCTTGTTGCAAACCTTTGCACTTTTTCCAGCTTCATGACATTCTTGACCAGGTGTGAGTTCCATACTGGCACTGCATATTCAGTAATGGGTGTGACATGTACTTTAGTCTGTCCTTTCATTTGTTGGTATCAAGACTGTTGTCAATATAATAACTTTGTTGTTCCATGCTGTATCCTCATTTTGGCCTTTCATTTTTCAGTTTTATCTGAAATCTTTGGTGGAGATGTTTGATGAATGTCAGGGATTCACAATGTGCAAATGGGTTAAAACCCAAAAGTTAATTCTTGTGGAGTTCCACACAAAACATTATTAGTCACATTTTATTCCATTTATTACAACTGTTTTCTGTGTTTCAGTAATTTATCCAATCCAGAATATAGTATGGGTTTCCTTATGCTTGAATTTTTTGAGTCAGCCTTTCATATATGTACAGCAAAGGTTCCCAAACTTAGAAGAAAAGTCAGTCACCAGAGAAATCACACACATTCGTTGATCAGTTCATTGAACACGCACTGAATCGCTCTCTTTTAAATTTGCTAATGGAGCAGGCGGGATCCTAGACAGTGAATATTCATAGGTCTTAAATTTTAAATGTTTAGAAAAATATAAAACAAATGTGTTTATATCTACCATTATTCCATTCATCCAAAGAAGTTGTTTGTAGCTACAGAATTTTTATGGTTTTGGTGTCTCATTTTCAGTGTCATGTGTTTAATTGATATGCATATTTCATAATCTTTATTGGATGCTTGTTTCTTTGCTACTAGATGCAATGATAGTTGGGGAGATGACAATTGGACCAATGACTGGGGTAGCAGCAACAACAGCAAGCCATCCTCTCCAACACAAACTCAAATGGATTCTCCGGAGCCTTCCCCAAACGCTCGGGTCTCCAAGAAAAATGCCAACAATAGCTGTAAGAAGAATAAAGGGTCTGTCAAAAAGGTAATGCTTATTTGCAAGCAGGAATATCCCTGTTTATTAAAAGAGTAAACATTTAACAAATCCAAAAAATATAATCTATAGTTTACTTTAAAAAATATAATCTGATCTCTCGATTAACCCTTAAACTGTCCAAACGTAGATCTACGTTTATGTGTGTAGTGCTCCGAACGTAGATCTATTTTTTTTTTACGTGCTTTCAAATGGAGAAAATAAAGGTTGGAGTACTACACATGTGAATGTAGACCTACGTTTCGACAGTTTAAGGGTTAAGGTACAGCATCAATATGCCTTAATAAACTGTCCTATTTACCAAGTCATGCAAAATTCACTTCCAGGATCTAAAATGCACTTTAACTGACCTCCTCCCTGAAGCTCCTGCCTTTAAAGCAGACTCACTAACTTTCTGACAGAAACTAACCCATTGCACCAGCTCTCGTGTCAATTTTGCCCCCTTCCCCACTCTAATGACTAGCTACATTAACCCCTACCCTTCACATCTCCTATTTACTGTTGTACAACCCATACAGGTTTGGTGCCTATATTTTAATGTACTGTACAGTACTTTTTTAAAAACAATAAAAATCAGTCCCTTTATAATTAGGGAAATAACCTGAGAAAAACAATGTACTGTATAGTACTGTACAACTGTGGCAGCTAAAGCATCTCATCAGTCTGGAAATACTCTTGACTCATAAATCATATCAATGGAGTCTCTTGTTTATCATGAGATTCCCCAAACTTGACTCCCAGGAAACCAGTTATACATCAGAGGCCTACCATTCTTCCTGGGAATGTAGGTTCTTAGGGGTGGTATGCTAGGAGAAGGGTGGTCAGCAGCTGTAGACTAACTTCACACACTGGCAGCACTGCTGGTCTTTGTTTTATGAGCATGTAAGATAACTGTTAAATCTAAAAAAGAAAAAAAAAATATAAAAATTACATTCAGTACAGTGGAACCTCGGTACTTGAACTTAATTAGTTCCAGAAGGTTGTTAAAGTGCCGTTCTGTTTGAGTACCAAACAAATTTTTCCCGTAAGGAATAACATTAATTAGATTAATCCGTTTCACACCTCCAAAAATACACAGCGACTTTGTGGTGTATTTTCGTAGGGTATTTATGACTCGTAAAATCATAATGACACGATTGCAAACAAACCATAAAACGGGCGGGGATAGAATCTGCGATCAGAGAGTCTCAAAACCCCAGACAGTTGCGTTAGCCACTGGGCCAGCTAGCCAAATAAGATTCATCCAACTAGGTATATTTCTACACCATAGGAAGGTTAGCAGAGGCACCACTGTGACCACAAATGCAAGTGGTATGGTTTGTTTGCAATCGTGTCATTACGATTTCATGAGTCATGTTGACAGCTTTGAGGGGACTTGAGCTAGAGTTCGTCACGGCCACCCTAGCTGGAGATTCGTCTATAAAAACTTGCATTTGTGGTCACAGTAGTGCCTATGCTAACCTTCTTATGGTGTAGAAATATACCTTGTTGGATGAATCTTATTGTGGCTAGCTGACCCAGTGGCTAACGCGACGGTCTGGAGTTTTGAGACTTTCTGATCACGGGTTCTATCCCCGCCCGTGGTATGGTTTAGGGTATTTATGATTGTATTCTCGTTTTCTTGATCTCATTTGATAGAATGAAAGGACTAAAAGTACCTTGAAATTGGGCTCAAAGTAGCGGAAATGTTCGATTTTTGCTGATGTTCAAGAGTAAACAAATCACATCACATGTCCAATACACTTCAACTGGTGGGTCTAACTAACTAAACGTAATGAAACTCCACTGCATCCCACTGAAACAGCTAACAAGATAAACGACTTCTTCTCAACCATAGGATCTAATCTTGCCAGTAAAATCTCATGTACCAATGCCCATGCCAGGGACTATCTAGATGGGAATTTCCCAAATTCTTTCTATCTTGTACCAACTGAGCCCACCGAAGTCACCGAGATTATAAAGTCACTTAAAAATACCTCGGGGAATCTGTCTCATGTCCCACCATTATTGTACAAGTGAGCGGCCCATGTCCTTTTGCATGCTATCTCATTACTTTTTAACAAGTCACTAGAAACTAGCACCTTCCCGAAACTACTCAAGACAGCCAGGGTTACACCAATACATAAAGGTTGTGACCCTACAGATGTAAACAACTAGAGGCCAATATCAAACTTACCATTGCTATCCAAAATCTTCGAGAAACTCGTGCACAAGAAACTGTATTCATTTATAACGGCACAAAGCATACTCAACCCCTGGCAATTTGGATTCAGGAAAAATAAAAGCACTAATGATGCAATTGTAAAAATGCTAGATCTACTTTACACAGCATTGGAAAATAATGAATATCTGAAAGGAATTTTTATTGACCTAAGAAAAGCTTTTGACACAGACCACGGCATCCTACTCCACAAACTAGACCATTATGATAAAAGAGGCCATGTGCTTGCATATTTCAAATCCTACCTTACTATTAGGTATTAGTATGTCACCATTAAAGACACAGCATCATCAACACGGCCACTTGATACTGGAGTTCTGCAGGGAAGTGTCCTTGGACCCCTGCTCTTCCTCATTTACATCAGTGATCTTCCAAACGTATCCCAACACCTGAAACCCATTCTCTTTGCTGACGACACGACTTGTATCATCTCTCGCCCTAATCTTGCCACCCTCGACACCATTGTTAACGAGGAGCTGCTCAAAACATCAACTTGGATGACAGCTAATAAACTTACACTTAACACTGACAAAACCTACTATATTATGTTTGGTAGCAGAGCAGGTGCTGCACGCAAACTTAACATTAAGATTGACAACACTCTAATTGCCAGACATAATGAGGGCAAATTCCTAGGCCTATACTTCGACAACAACCTGAATTTCAGCACCCATATCCAACACACAACAAAAAAAGTATCCAAAACAGTTGGGATCCTTTCCAAGATACGATACTACGTGCCGCAAAATGCCCTTCTCACACTATACCATTCACTCATTTATCCATACCTCACCTATGCTATTTGTGCTTGGGGATCAACTGCAGCAACACACCTAAAGCCAATAATAACTCAACAAAAAGCTGCAGTAAGAATAATCACTAAATCCCATCCCTGGCAACACCCCCCCCCCCTCTTCATAGATCTAAACTTACTCCCTGTTCAGAACATCCACACTTACTACTGTTCAATCTACATATACAGGACCTTAAATTCCAATATTAACCTTGACCTCAAATGCTTTCTTGATAGTTGTGACAGGGCCCACAGGCATAACACCAGACGCAAACATCTCTACGACATTCCCCGTGTCCAACTAAACCTTTACAAAAATTCAATGTATGTCAAAGGCCCTAAAATCTGGAACACCCTACCTGAAAACTCTAGAACTGCAGACACATTCATCACCTTCAAAACTACTGTTAGAAAACATCTTATCTCCCTGATACACCCCGACAACTAACTACATGTAAACCACCTGGTGGTTCACACACTCACTCACTCGCCCATTTGACTATAAGCACAGAAATACAAATCTTAATCTTAAAATAATGATTCCTAACTAGTCATAAGTTTGCCTGTGATATTTCACTATAGAAACTATGTATTGTGCCAAAGCAAAAAGCATTCACATTGCTAAACTCACAAACCAGTATTTAGTCACTTAGTATTTAGTCAACTTACTCCACAATTTGTAATAATTTAGGGTTAAGAATTAATCTGAGTTTGCCCGAAATGCCTAGCCATGCTAGGTGTTCTAGTGGCCCCCTCTGTAATTAGTATTTTATTACATGTAAACCACTCAATAACCAAAGTCTGTAAACCCCGCATTGTAATCCTTATAGAGAATAAACTTTGATTTTATTTGATAATATGCATTCACAAATGCACTGATATTATTTATACTTTTTTCAGTAATGGAGTAGTCTGCATAACAGTAAATCTTCTATTTTATTGTGTGAATAAAAATTCAAAATGGAAAGCAAGCATAATATAAGAGGGGCCTGAAGTGGGAGGAGCTATAGGAGAGAGGGAGGGGCCAGCAGAAGGAGCATTACGTAGCTGATGAGTCGTCTCGATAGCTGGATACTAGTGGTGGCGTGAATACAATATTGTGTAATTATGCTAATACTGTATTAGTAGTAAAGGTTATCTATCATATTTATTCCAGCTTGATATCAGAAACATGATAACCTAGAAGCACAATAAAGACACCAAAATAAATAAAAGGCATATTATATGGAGAGGCAGTGTTTACATCAGGGCAAACACTAACCAATTTTCTTTTTGGTTGGCTGTTATCACTAATCTTCTTGGGCCCCATGGTGACTTATACAAATATAAATTTTTTTTTTTTTTTCCAACAAGTCGGCCGTCTCCCACCGAGGCAGGGTGACCCAAAAAAGAAAAAATCCCCAAAAAGAAAATACTTTCATCATCATTCAACACTTTCACCACACTCACACATTATCACTGTTTTTGCAGAGGTGCTCAGAATACAACAGTTTAGAAGCATACACATATAAAGATACACAACATATCCCTCCAAACTGCCAATATCCCAAACCCCTCCTTTAAAGTGCAGGCATTGTACTTCCCATTTCCAGGACTCAAGTCCGACTGTATGAAAGTAACCGGTTTCCCTGAATCCCTTCACTAAATATTACCCTGCTCACACTCCAACAGATCGTCAGGTCCCAAGTACCATTCGTCTCCATTCACTCCTATCTAACATGCTCACGCACGCTTGCTGGAAGTCCAAGTCCCTTGCCCACAAAACCTCCTTTACCCCCTCTCTCCAACCCTTTCGAGGACAACCCCTACCCCGCCTTCCTTCCCCTATAGATTTATATGCTTTCCATGTCATTCTACTTTGATCCGTTCTCTCTAAATGACCAAACCACCTCAACAACCCCTCTTCTGCCTTCTGACTAATACTTTTATTAACTCCACACCTTTTCCTAATTTCCACACTCCGAATTTTCTGCATAA